TCAACTAATAATAAAAAAATCACTTACTCTGACACGCCTATGTTTAGGTTCAAATTTTTTAACAAATTCAGCTTCATCATAGACCAATGCAAAACCAGTAGAACGACCTCCACCAAATACAGTTTTCATACCAAATACCATGATGACATCTTTACTGACACTAAACATTTTAGATAATTTTTCTCGAATATCAGGTTTTGATAAATTGGCTTTGTTTGGATGTAAGACATCGATTACCATTTGTCTACGACGTAATAAACGATTTGTTATAAATTTTTTAATTCTAATAGTAACTACACTATCGTCAACCTTTTTATTTTAATTTTATAAATAACAGATAATGCATTATTTATTTTGATAATATATTTTAAAACAACTAGTAAGAATATCTTAACAAACCATTTTTGTAATTATTGGAGGATTTTTTTTTCAAAAAAAAAAAAAAAGATAAATTTATTGATTTATTTTCAATTGTTACACGATATTTATATGAGAGAAAAAAATTAAAATAATAATCAAAGGGCTTTTTAGATCCATTATTATGGAATTTATATATATATTTATTATTGGGATCAAGATTATTTTATAAGAAAAATGTATAAAATAACATAAATAAATTTTAATTTATTATATACCATGAGATCTCTTCAAGACTGCTTAGTGCTGCTAATGAAGAGAGAGAATCAACGCAAAGACTTTACCCAAAATTTTACGAGTAAATATAACCTTTTTTATCAATTGATTCTTTCTCTCGCGTAATTTCTATTACTATCAGGCGATGTATGTTATACATACATCCAACAGGGATTTGCAATCCAGCCTTTTACAGATTGGAGATACGAGGCCTTCTTCCGAATATACTTTGATTTTTTTCCTCGTTATCATTATCATAAAGATCATTCTTTAGGTTATTTGTTTCTTCCAAAAAGTGGATTAAAGGAAAAGATGAAAGAGTCTTATGTTTTTTTTTTAGTCCAAGATCCGTCCCCCAGAAAAAAAACCATCTATTTAAAGGTTTGATTAATATTAAATGAATAAAAAAATTTGATCAATAATTCAATTATGTTAATAAATTAATTATATATATAATTAATATATATCTATATTATTATTGTCTGTCAGGGTTAAAAAGCTCAATTTTTTTATAGTTCATTCAATTGAATACAATTTTATTTTATTCAATTTCATTTGAAGAAATTCAAAGAATACACATCATTCAGTTCTTTATCAATATATATATATATATATATA